TGCTGTAATTTGCCAGGCCCATTACTCCCACAAATGTGATGTCTGTGAGCCCTGCGAGTGTGAAACAGTTGGTGGGATAGAGAGCGGGAGAGAGAGAGAGAGAGAGAGAGAGAGAGAGAGAGTGGGAGAGAGGGAGAAAGCAGGGCACCTTGCTATTGCCTCTGTCCTGCCACAGTGTCTGAAAGTGTGTGATGTGTTGTGCTAATGGCACCAATTATGCACCAGAGAGCACTGCTGATGGGCTGGTTTCACAGCAAAAATGCTGGGAGACTAAACGGTTGCAGTGTGAAGCCTTTGGGTAGCAAAAAAAAAAAAAAAAAAAGTGATGTTAGAGGCAGGAGGGAGACGAGCCATTTGGGGCTTTTCTTTCGTAATAGCGGCCTGCTCGCTACCCAGACATGCCGAGGTGTCTGGTTGGATTGCAGCCATGCAGAAATTTATGTCTGTTTCTTTCAGAGGTGCAATCCAAGCGAGACCAGGACCACTCAAACGCTCTCAATAAAACTGACTTCCCTCTGGAAGTCTCAAAGGCTTTCAGTAGATTTGATTTGAAGTCTATAACTTAAAAAAACGAGTGGCCGTGGGGCTGTGATGCTGTGATGCTGGCTCTCTGTCAAATTGTAAAACTTCAACTCACCTGCGTGATGAAACTGTTGGAGCGTAGAAGGTGCATCAGAGGTAATCGTTCCGTTTTTGTAATCGCCCTGGCATGATTGTGCTCATTGTGAGATGTTTACAAGCGACAATTAGTTTATATACCTTTTCATGTGTTGGTGTGACGCATCATAAGGGAACATTTTGAGAAGAGAGTCTTCTTGCAAGCAAAGGGAGCTAGACTGGAAAAATCCTAGTCATGTAATTGGCTCCTCTGGCATGTCAGAAGTAAAAGAGTTGTCTGTGAATGTCTTGATGGGTGCCAGGAGAAAACTTTAAAGAAAGGAAAAAAGTTTTAATTTCATTACATGGTGTTGAGCTATACCCGCATGCATACGGCAGATAATTACAAGTCTTTGCTTGGAAGCAGATTTTTTTTTTGTTTGTTGTTGTTGCACACAGCAGGTTTCGACAACACAACTGCAGAGACGACTTGCTCGCTCATGTGCAGATGAAATAAAAAGAATTGCGGGGGAGGCAGTCTGTATCCGCGATCGAATGCAGATGGTTTTTGAGTCTGCTTCACAAA